TGCCTCTCTGTAACTCTATCTTTCAAATAAAATAAATAAATCTTTAAAAAAAGGAAGCTAACCAAAAGTAAATGACAAGTACAAAACCAAAAGTCAGTTCCATTGTTTCTTCATCTCATTTTTCTTTCTTTTTCTTTTACTTCGTTCACTGGACACTACTTCAGAAAATTCACATCTTAGCATGTTACTATGTTTTGTTTGATTGACTTTTCCTAACATAAGACATTGCTTTAGAAGAACTTTATATATAGCCAAATACAAAGTTATTACCAATCTGCAGCAGAGTTCATTCACTAATAAGTATTTATTGAGCACCTGTTATGCTAGAGGTTGGTTGAATTATTAGATCTGACTCATTGCATGTTTTATTAAGTATTCTGTCAGTGCAGTTCTCTTTTTAAAGGTGCAGTTTTTAAGTGATAAAAATAAAAACATTTGAAAAGAGATGATGAGATTTTGAAGCTACTCACTCACCAAACTGGAAGTACACACCCCTACATACACCCTTGTATATATAAACTAACTCAGACCATCCAAAGGTATAGGAAAACAGAGGTTGAAAAATATGCAGGCTGATCTATTTTAAAAGAACTGAATGAAAAATCCCTTAGATAATTGATCCTTCCTATCTACATTAGGAAGAACGCCCTCATTTTATTCACTACTCAGCTTCTACATACCCTCTACCTTGTTGCCTTCAGCTTCTGTACTTTTTGTCATCTGATGTTCTGTTCCCTTGTCCTCTACTTTTATTCCCAAGCTGCATAAGAAAGCTTTTAGAAACTTTAATTACAAATTGACAGAGTAATTCTGTCTGCTTAACTAGCAGAATATTTGCCTGGTATTTTGTTTGTATGTGTAAAAATTTCATTTCTCTATAATAATAATTAAATGAGGAAAGAGTCTACTTGGAGAGGCACCAATCCAGTGTGCTCTGTTTCTCCAGAGACATTTTTGGATTTCCCATTTCCATGTCATTACATATTTTCCAGCTAATGTTGCCTGGCTGTTACAGTCCAGCTATAATCCCCTCTCCTTCATGGGTTCTTCCTTGAATTCTTACACTGAATTTCATTGTATTTCTGCTAAACCCTTACAGCCAATATTTACTGAATGTAGTATCATTTAATATCCGCCCAAATATACCTATATATATAGTGGTCTCACACTAGAGACCACACTTGGGGGATACAATCAGGATGGACAAGACCATGGACCTTAACGTCAGAGACATCCTGGTTGGAATCCTGAGTTCTGTTGTTTACAAGCTGAGAGATTTGGGGGGAAGGCAACTAGGGTTTTGAGACCTCATTTTCCTCGTTTATCAAATGGGACTGTTGGTAGCAACCATCTCTTAAGGTTACTATGAAGACTGAAGGAAAATAATACATGTGAAACGTGTACATTTGTATACTAAACATTCTGTATATGACTGCTATTATTTTATTCTCAATCAATGTAATGGCACATTTAGTATGTTTATCTTCTTTCTTTAGGCATAACTTTAGTGCTTTGATAAGATTATATCCAGGAAAAAGAAGATAGGAAGAAAGTAGCACCATTGCTAGAGTTGGTGGTATGCATAGGAGTGTACAGTCATTGGGTTTCTTCAGATTTCTAGTATGTCTTGGGAGCCAGGAAATTCCACAAAAGCACCCTTGTTTAGGTGGTGGAACCACAGCATGAGTCATTCATGAGATGGTTTTTTCCTAAAGGCAAAGCAAATGCTACCAAAGGAAAATATAATACAAAATAATAAAAGAAGGAAATTATCTCTGAAAATATTCCACTATCACCACCAAAAAAAAATTTGGTTTTGGCTAGAACACCTGGATTTTTTCATAGTACAATTTTAGTTAGGTAAACATTGAAAAGATGTATTTTCCTAAAAAAGGAAAGAGTGATTTTGTGGAAAAGGGTAGTTGGCAATAATCTTCAGATGTAGAAGATCAGTTTAATATAAGGTTTTCTTTGTTTTAAAGAATGAGAAGAAGTGAACTTGAACAAGAGTTAGGAATGATAATTAACATAGCTGCTTAACTGACAAAGTTTATTTCCAAATAACCTTCTTTGTAGGATAATTATTGAAGAACATAGATACATACATGTAAAATACAGTGTTTAATCATGCATCAGTTAAATGACATGTTTTTTATTTTATTTTAAATTTTTTAAAATTTTATTTAAGGTATACAAATTTCATTCATGCCATATATACAGATTCAGGAACATAATGATATTTTCCACCCTACCCTCCCTTTCACCCCTGCTCCCACCCTTCTTCCTCCTTCTGCTATTCCCGCTATTAATTTTTACAAAGATTTATTTTCAGTTTATTTTATACTCATAAGACTAACCCTATGCTAAGTAAAGAGTTCAACAAATAATATGAAGAAGAAAACCAAAACACTGTTCCTCAACAGTTGAGACAAGGGCTGTAAACAGTAATCAAATCTCAAAATGTCTCTTAACTTGTGCACTAAATGCATATACTAAAACTGTTATATGGATTCATTGTTATCTAGGATATGCTTCATTAGGCTTTAAAAACTGGAGAGCTATCTTAAAAGTAAGCAGAAACATGCAATGGCATTAATGTTAAGGGAGTAGACTGGGATTTTTTGGTCAAATTATTTTTGGTATATTGAATGTGAATTCAAAAGGAAGACTATAAATCAAACTCTGAGAGGAGCTAGAGAATGTGAGTTAAGAGGTGCATAAGCCCTTGCTAGACAAGAGCAATAATACAAAGACATAATTTACTGTAGTTGAATGATAAGGAAAACAAAATGAAACTCAGATTATTTGAGGCCTTGCAGTCTAATTCTGAATCTGCTGGCACGCACATATGCACACCCACACACACACAGATAGACACACACACACACACACTGAAAACTATTAACACACTCAAAAAGTCCATGCATTCATCTGAACACAATGAGTGGTCACGTTATCTAAAGAGAAGGTGAGGTGAACACACACACCCGTTTTTCAATAATGAGCTTTTAGATGTCCATGGTACAGTAGTGTGTCAAGCAAGCTGTGAAATCATCACAGACTGCTGAGTGATTAAAAGTTAGGTCAGACAAACCACTGGATTTCAGTACACTGTAGGAAAGACTCTCATGTTAGCAAGGCAATAAAAAGATGCCAATATTTTCTATCTCTAATTTTTAGTGCTGTCATATAGTTTAAAAATAGAAAAGTACTATAGAGAAGACACTATAAAATAGAAAAGTACAATATTTATAGAAATACTGGGAATTAGGACCTAAATGTAAAGAACTTATTATTTAACATTAGTATTTAATTTTCATGGTTTTGTTGTGGAAACAATATGAGGATACTTCAAAAAGTTCATGGAAATGGAATTAAGAAGTAAATATTTTGGTGCAAAAATTTTTGAAATCCACATATACATGAGGTTATCAGAAATTCACAGAAACTATATATTATGCAAAAACTTGTATTTAAAAACTTTTGGTACCAAAATAAGTGCATCTATTTTAAATGAATAAATGAAACTCTTTGCCTTAGAAACTTGATTTGAGGTATATTGCTTCATACAGTGTCTTCAAAATTGGGTATTATGATAAAACTATGCATGGATTTGAAAATTTCTGAAATAAATTTATCATTTATTTCTAATATCTGTGAACTCTCTGAAATCCCTGCATATTATGTATCTGTGTTTCCAAAATAATAAGTAAGAGTTTTATTTTTTTAGTATCTTTTGAAGGTTTCAATCAGGTTTGTAGAGTGTACATACATTTTCAGTAATCTTCCTACCAACTGTACAAGATAGAGTGTTATTGCCATTATCCAGGTTATTAAATTGGGCCAGTGATATAAAGGAATCTACACAAGGTTGTAGTTCAACAAGTGTGAGAACAGAAATTTGACTACAAGTTTATCTAATTCCTGAGACCAGGCTTTATTTTTGCCTGATTAATAAATACTCTTTCTTTATTTGCTCAGAGTTAGAATTATATACCTCTTCTCTTTTTTATTAATCTGTTTACCATCGTCTATAAAGAGGTAGTCCTGTTCTCTCAAATCCCAAAAGTCTCAAGGATTCTGTTCATTCTATTCATTTATTTAAAATTTAGCTGTGGTTTCCATGTACATAGTGCCTTTTGCATTCATTTTTTGGATCTCAATTTTGGATTTGCAATATATTTCTTCCATGTTATTTTATATTAGATATTGAAGTCCTGTGAAGTCAGGGGATGCAGTATCCTTTTAGAGCCAATGAAATAACTGTTAATATTTAAAAAAAGGAATTCTATATTGAGAGAGAGAGAGAGAGAAAGACAGAGAGACAGAGAGAGAGAGAGAGAGAAACTCTTATCTACTATTTCCTCTACTAGTGCACTCCCCCAGATGTGTGCAATGGCTGGGAATGGGCTGGGACAAGCATCTAGATATTCCATGTAGATGACCGGAACCTAGCCACTTGAGCTACCTCTCAGGGTTTGTTTTAGCAGGAAACTGGAATCAGGAGCTGTGACTGGTTATTAAACTCACCTACTCTGATACAGGATGCAGGCATGGTGAACTGTGTCTTAACTGTTAGCCTGAATGCCTGCCGCTCAGATTTTATTTAACCAAACCTAACAGAGAAAAGAAGATATAATCTTCCATGTATGTAAAAGTACAATAGTGTCGTTTCTTTCATGAATAGGAGTCAGAGATTCTGCTGGCCATGTGTCTACATGTGATGTCAGTGGGAACTTTGAATATGAAGGGTGGAGACGCCTAACTTGGATGATCTGACTTTGTAGCTTTTAGCAGAAGTTGGAACTGCTTTTAACCATATGTGAGTCAGAAGGATATGAACCTTGGACTTACTCTGACAGTTGCCTTTAATTAAATCAGCCTGGCTGTCTTCAATTCTGACAAGTCAACTAGTCAGAAAGCACTAGTTCTTTGGAAATTTCTAACTTTCCCAAGTTTTGCTTCTACTCAGCACTTCAGATGTTGTTTTCTTTTTTCAGATTTATAATCGTTTAGATACAAATTGCTGTGGATTCCGACCTCGCAAGGAAGATGCCTGTGTACAGAATGGATTGAAGCCAAGATGTGATGACCAAAATTCTGCAGCTCTGGCACACATTGTCCAGAGAAAGCAGAACCCAAGGCATTTGGTCTTTATAGACAATAAAGGTTTCTTTGACAGAAGTGAAGATAATTTAAACTTCAAATTGTTAGAAGGCATCAAAGAGTAAGTTTTATGATGTAATAACATCTGTAGGACATTGCGTTTATATTAAATAAATAGTAAGATTCTGGGAAAATTCATACTCTATGTCTGACCCATTTAATCCTTAAAAACAATTGTGAATGTGAAATCTGGGAATGGTGATCCAGAGAGGGGGACAAACTCAAGGAGAAGAGAAATTAGAGAGTGATCATGACTTTTCTATCACCCAACTATACCCCATACAAAGTTCACACTACATTTCACATTTATAATGCTGGTTGGCCCTCATTGTGAAAATCCATTTAGTTAGGTTGGAAGAATGTGGGGAGCTACAGAGTAAGAACAGGGGTAGGCTGGTGGCAGAGGCTCTGTAATTAGGCCTTAAGATAGGACAATGAATTGGGGGAACTACCTACATGGCACTATGTCCAAATTAATAGTAAATTAGAGTGACTTTTAGAATGCAGAGAAAAATGAGAGGCAATAGGTAAGTAAGGCACAGCATCAGAGGACAGCTGGGTATTTAAATCAGATAGGAGACTCTTGGAGCATTTGGAAATCCTTCCAGTAGATCCAGATTATGGGGGAAGGCATCTGACAACTCAAAATGAGGGCCAATGGAATCTAGTTAGTGAAGAATTATTTTTATATTGAAGGTTCATCAAGACCTTAGGGGAGACCTCAAAAATTGAAGGAAACCTGCCAGGACTTAGAAAGAATGCAGAGTGGAGAGGTACCCACTACAGAATGAGATCAACGTGGCAGAAGCTAAAACACATGACTACTCCTGGCACACTTGATTGTACTTCTACTTGGAAATAAAAGAAATTAAGTCATGTAATAATGGCAGGGAACTAGCTACAAAGTCTTGAGTTTTTCAACCCCAGTTATGGAAATTGAAACTAGATTTCCAGCTGCACCTAATGCCAGAGCCACTTCCATATACTTCCTACCTTAGTCAGAAATCAGAATGACCTAGAAATTGGGGTCAGTTGGAGACTTACAAATAGAGGTATACACTAACAAAACAGGGAACATGCTGCATGAAGGTGATTGCTGGAAAGCATATGAGCTAATCTGAAATTGAAGCTAGAACTCAGGTCTTCCAAATTCAAGCCTAATATTTTTCTGTAATTACTTATAGTCTAATGTTCTAATACCATTACTCTTGTTAATAATACTCTGGAGTATAAGTTGAGATTTCTAAAAGTTCATGGAAAATGAAACTAAAAGATGTGTTTATTTTGGTCCAACAAAATTGAAATCCATGCATTGTTATTCTATGATGTGGATTATCCACAAACCATTTAGAGGTCCCTTATATTTCAATTATTCCTATTAACCACTGTGACTTAGGTACTATCGATTTTATGTAGCTTTAATGTGAAAAGGAAAACTATCCTGTGAGAATATCTTGAGTCCCAATTTCTTGAGATTTTTTTTGGCCATGTCTGTTACTGTTCCTCCCTCATGAATGCTTGTGGATTAAAGGCAGATAATGTGGTGGATTCTTTCCTTGAAGTCTCTATGAGAGGATTTTATGTATAGGAGAGTTTACATTCCTATACAACACTTCCTGGGTTGATTTCACAGGGACTTCTTAAATAGCCGAATTCCCTCTTCGAATGAAGAGCATCTGGAGAATACAGTATATCCAGTTATTCTTTTCAAAGAAGATTTCACTTAAATGCATTATGAGGAGTAATGGGCTTGAAGTTAAGTCTTCTTTGAATATATAATTCACACATTGGAGGCAAAAATAAAGACTGCCAATCTTGGATTTATGCATTGAATGTTCCTATTAATCCCTGTAAAGGTAAAGACAGATGAATTTTTTTTTGTTTTCTTTATAGAAAGGAATAGTCACTGAAGAGATCAAGGGTTTTAAAAGTTTCATCACATGCACTCTGCCACAGTTAAGTGAGTGGAAGCTTTAAAATTTACAAATCGTGGATTATTAATACTTTATAGAGCAAAAGTACTGCTTATTTAATAGTTTAGCAACTGAATTATATAGTGTTGTCTTCAGGGAATGTGGTGCATCTCATACGCATTATTTAATTCCACGATCAGGCTCATTGAGTGCATTTGCTCTGTGGCTATTGGTCTGTCTGCAGCACAAAACTGTGGGAGATTTTGGTGCTGGCAGCATTTGGGAAAACATAGCAAACATTTCTATAACCCACTGGACCTTCTCTAGGAAGTGTGGCGAGCACCAGCCCCACAAAGTGATGCAATACAAGAAGGGCAAAGATTTTGATAGGAAGTAAAGTGGCTATGGGGGCAGACTAAGCCAACTTTACAGGAAAATCCTGGAACTACAAAGAAGATTGTGCTTAAGCTTGAGTGTGTCGAGCCAAACTGCAGACCTGTAAGAATGTTGGCTATTAAGAGAGGAAACATGGAGACCAGCGCTGTGGGGTCGTGGGTTAAGTCTCTACCTGCAGTGCCAGCATCCCATATGGACACTGGTTCTAATCCTGGCTGCTGCAGTTCCAGTCCAGCTCTCAGCCAGTCGCCTGAGAAAGAAGTGGAAGATGGCCCAAGTACTTGGGCTCCTACACCCACAAGGGAGACCTGAAGGAAGCTCCTGGCTCCTGGCTTTGCATCAGCCCAGCTCTAGCCATTGCAGCCATTTGGTTTCAGCCATGTAGGGAGTGATCCAACCAGTGGATGGAAGACCTTTCTCTCTGTTTCTCCCTCTCTCTGTCTATAACTCTACCTCTCAAATTAATAAATATTTAAAAATATAAGAGATGCAAACAGTTCAAACTAGGAGGAAATTGACCAAGTGATCCAGTTCTAAGCTTCATCTTCTGTTTTATTAGGAAGGCGATAAAATCTCAAGGTTATTATTCACTTTATTTGGTCTCTCAGTTGGTATTTTGAGAGGGAATAAACTAGAGTCATCAGTAAAATATCCCATGGAGAAAATTTAAGCTCTTAAAAAATAACTGTGAGAACACCTAGAGCCCTTGCCCCCATGTACCCTATGTGCTGTCTCCGTTATGCGCACTGAAATTTGTAGAAGGTGCTTAGAATCTCTAAAGTTTCTGAGAGTCTACTTTTTTGCTGTAGTTTTAAAGGTATGACTGAGTTCATTTGAAAATTACTATTAAATTCCAATATATTTACTTGCTCATTGCATTTATTTATTCATTATAATTAATTAATTAATTTGAGAGGCAGGGAGGCAAGGAGAGGGACTACCACCCACTGGTTCCCACCTCCAAAATCCACCACAGCTGGGGCCGAGCAAGGGAAAAACAGGGAGCCCAGAACTCAACCAATGTCTCCCTTATGAGTGGCAGTAACTCAGCTACTTGAGTCATCACGTGTGATTACATGGTGTGCATTAGCAGGAAGGTGGAATCCGGAAAGGATCTGGAGCTTGCACCTAGGCATTGTAATATATACTGCTAGATCAAATGGTGACCTCCTAATTCTCATTTATTTTTTATTTGACAGGGACTCGAAGCGTCATGAGTGGCCTGCCGCGCTCTTAATCTTTTGGAGTGTGAGTGAGAGGGATAGAAAAGAAAGAAAGGTCTTTCTTCCACTGGTTCACCCCCCGCAAATGGCCGCCACGGCCAGCACTGCACCAATCCAAAGCCAGGAGTCAGGTACCTCCTCCTGGTCTCCCACACGGGTGCAGGGCCCAAGTACTTGGGCCATCCTCCACTGCCTTCCTGGGCCACAGCAGAGAGCTGGACTGGAAGAGGAGCAACCAGACTAGAACCGGCGCTCATATGGGATGCTTTCGCCACAGGCTGAGGATTAACCAAGTGAGCCACGGTGCTGGCACCCCCTCATTCTCATTTTAAATGAAGGCTTGGAAAGACCAAATTGGGGATTTAGCAAAATGCTAAGTATGATTTTGAGTGACAAATTTTGCTAAATTCAGATAATGTATGTGCTAGACTCCTGGCTTTATATTTACAATGAAGAGAAGACAGTTCAGTGTTTTAAGGTATTTCAGCAAGGACTCTCCTAAATCAGCTTTAGGCTTTCCAGAGAGACAATTATTGTGGAATGACCTGGCTCCAAAACTTGAGCTTTGCTAAATTTATTTGAAAATGATGTAACACTCCAGATTTAGGAAATATTCCCAAGTCCTCAGAGTTCCTAAAGTACACTTTGAATCAAAGGCAGTTCTTTTTAAAAAAAGATTTTTTGAATGATTACTTCCTGATTTTAGTACATATATTGTGGATTATTTCGCATTAAACTCAGTTGTGTAATTTCTAGTCAGGAAGAAGACTTTAATGAAATTGCATTTGGCATCTCATATTTCTTGCACCACCTTGACAATTACAAGAATACTATTCTACTTGGCAAATTAAAGGGGTTCCTGTGGGCAAAATGGAGCTTAACTGAGGAAAATGTATTCTCTGGTTTAATAGTATCCTTTCTAATTATGTGACTCTCTTTGCCTGCATATAATGACCTTCAGTTAGATGTTAGTATGTCAATTCTGTGTGGTACACAAAATTCAGTTCACTTGACAATGGAAGGAAGATATTTCTCTCTGTCTCTCTCATTGTCTAACTCTGCCTGTCAAAAAAAAAAAATCAGTTCACTTGAAACACATTATTTTTGTATATTAACAGAAGTGTCAGTTTGGCAGTGACAAAAATGTTTTGGTCCTCATTTTATAGCGTGCTTTATGCCAGATCTATGAGAGGAAGAACAATTGGGTAAGGGATAATATTTCTGAGCAATTACTAAAGATGAAATGTTGTATTATCTCTTCAGGTTTCCCGAATCTGCAGTTTCTGTTTTGAAGAGCCAGCACTTACGGCAGAAACTCCTTCAGTCTTTGTTTTTGGATAAGGTTTATTGGGAGAGTCAAGGAGGTAGACAAGGAATTGAGAAGCTTATTGATGTCATAGAACAGAGAGCCAAAATTCTGATCACCTACATCAATGCACATGGGGCCAAAGTCTTACCTATGAATGAATGATAAAAGTTATCTGCTCGCTAGAGGGCTAGATGTACTTAGGCAGTTTTGTTTTGTTTTTAAATAAAGCACATTATTTTTTTGTTGTTGTTGAAATGAAACCATGTCAATTAATACATAAAATGAGTGAATTTACTCACATAGTTATGACGGGCTTGAAAATTATATGTGGACTTAAAAATGTTTTACAAAACATACTGCTTGAAAGTATTTATCTTTTTCTGTGTCATTTTGACAAATGGGTCTCAACTTCTGATACTGAGTAGTTGCACTTATTGTTCTAGTTAGCTTTTGAAACATTTAATAGAGCAGTGTACATCAGAGGGACTGACCTCTCTGATAAACCATATTTTATGCCATGCTGATGGATCTGCTAACTACTAATGGGGATGGTACTTGGTGTTCTTCTGTCACTGATCATTGAAACAGCACCCCAGCACTCCCCAGGGGCAATTCTGCATTGGATAATTGAGACACATAATCTGCAAAGGCATCAGGGCCTGCAATGCATTCTAAATACAAATGGGAGATTATCAGCAAACCCACATTGTATTTTTCCTTACATCTATAAGCAAATCAGCCACCTCTGATCAGCAAGAATCACATTTTTATTCTATTTTTGAAATTTATCTTGTCTTTAGTATAATAATCATCTGCATCCGACAATTTTCATACTATTTTTGCTTTTCTAGTTTTGATCTAATTTATGTCTAGAGTCTTAGAAACTAAGTAATCCTGAGGTATGAAGTTACCTATTTGAAAATACTTACAGAGTATCTTTAATTTAATGAATGTTTAATTTTTTGGCATTTTACAAAGGATATGCTCTAATTTGTATATATTTTATTACTAATCATGGATTTCTTAGAATTTGTTCTGCATAATTATATTTAACCTGACTTAATTAATATTACCCATATTGAGTTTGTTGAAATATGTCATATGCCTTTTTCCAATATAAGAAATATGAACAAAATATATTAAAGACTGACTCTGATCAATTCTCAATGACAGCAAATTGGAACAAAAACAGTGATTTTTTACAACATTGAGCCTTAAACAATTCTACCTGAACTCCCTCTATCAAGTTTTCAATTAGATTGTCAGGATTTAGACACTTAATATCCATGTTCTAGGTCTTCATGTCCCTGGAAGATACTCAAGATCAACATGTATCATAGAAATTCAGATAGAAGTTTCAAGTCATTATCTTTCCATCCTCAGATAGAAGTTTCAAATCATCATTCTTTCCACCCTCAAAGTCTTAGACTATTGAAAAACTGATTTACTGACTTTTCTTACCCTGAAATTTTAGAATACATCCTAGCCTCTCTTTTTTCAGCTCTGTCTGTTATTACTGAAGTGTAGCACATTTTCTGTGCTTTGATCAAGGGTAACTCAGCATTCATGTGAATTAGAACTATGAAAGATTTTATAATAAATGTGAAATTAGGATAAAAAAGAATGTATCTATTGATTCTTATTTAAGGCAATGTATGAAGCAAAGTGTCAAAATGGCATGATGAATACAGGAGAGGATGGACCAAGGAGAAAGGGATTATTTGACTTCTCTAGACTCACATTCAGGTATTACATTTAGCATCTTTATTTGCCACACTTGCCCTTGGAAAGTTGATCTTTGGACCACCCTTCTCTTCGATTTTCCATCAATGGCCCTGCATGTCTCCCTCTGTACCCACATATTCCTGATCTCATGGGCTCTCATGAGTCTCTACCTTCACTTGCTGTCCCTGCACGTTGTAAGGTTCTGTTTGTGTTGGTTTTGTGAATCAGTGAACAACTGGGCTAACAAGGGTTTGGAGGTCCACATTCTACTTCGAGCCACTGATTTGAAATAACTCTTAGTTTACCAAGGTGGCATATTTATACTTTCACAGAACTTGTGATGTTAATCCAAATTTGTGATATTGATAGTGGGAATTCCAAGCTCCCTAGAAGCTAACTTTAATTTTGTGCCTCAAGCTAAGCTGCTTTCAGGCAGCCTGGTCTTTCTGCAAGTGTATCTGACTTATTTTGCCTTCAATTATTATAAAATGATTAGCGTTAAATAAAAGGTCAAGGCATACATGTCTATTTTAGACATCTTTACTATTTAACACTTTTTTAAATTTTTTTGTAATTTTTTTGTAATTAGTGAATAATTCATAATGTCTTATTTTTCAGTAATGGGTAGTTGAAGGCCAGGCTTCTAATTCTAATAACTAATGCTCTTCTTTTCTCTTATGGAAATAATGAGAGTACTCTGTGCATTTCAAATGCACTCAGATTATATAATGCTTTGGTTCAAATAAGTATATAAGTGACTTATTTATAATTTTATAACAAATATGAAATAGACTAATTTACCTTGGCAGATGTATAAAAAACTTACTTTTGTTTGACTTATTTTCTTTAATCTGATGGTATGAAAATAAATTTGTATCTTAAAAAAATCTATAATAAAACATTGGAAATTAAATATGTGTGATTTTTTGTTTAAGAAAGGAGTTCACTTTCTTTTGTAGATAGGTTACTTCTCAGAAGCTTAGACAAATATTTGCTACCTTTATCCATGAGAAAAGAAACAACTGAATAGTCAAGAATTGTATTTGAGTGTGTGGATATATTTGAAATCATCATGTGACCATTAGCTTTCTTTTGGTGTGTACAAAGGTAGTTCAGAAGATCATGGAAAATATGGAATTGAAACATAACTTTGTTTTGCTGAAGTTCTGAAATCCCTGCAAAGTTTTTTCATGATACACATTTTCCATGAAATTTTTGGAGAATTTCTTATAGCATTGTTTTAGTTGTTATGCAAATTAGTTAATGGATATAAATTAAATTTAATTTTTGGTTTCTTTTTCTTAACTTAGGGTGAGTATGTTAATTACATTTAACACATTAAATCCCAATTTTCAAGTCAGTGAATATCTTAAAGATGTAGTGTTTATTTCAAAGTTATTGAAATATATTTTTGCTCAATTTAAGTATTTATAGGTGTTCTATTTATTGGATCTTGAGACTTAATAGGTTAAGGTTTTCTTCTTATACTTGGATGTACAAAATACATATACTCTCTGAACTGATATAATAATCTGTTCATTTAATTGTACCACTAAACATACTTTACATTTTGTCTAGTGAATAAAAACCTAAATGTGGATTCATTTACCTACCATCTTTTGAAATTCTAATGTTTATCTCACCGCAAAACAGGAGATAATGCAGTTAGCCCATTGGTGTGAAATTGATACAGGAATTGTACATAGCTGAAATAGAAATGATAAAGAGCCTTTTCTAAAAACTACTATAAACAAGAATCAAGAATTTTCATTCATGAAAGATAATTTGACTCATCAGAAGTTATCTAAAACTTGGAAATAGCCTATAGAGTGCAAGGCTGAATTTATATTATATGGAATAATGTTGTAGGCCACAGGTAAAATTGTTCCATAAAGATATAAAATTTTTCTTTCTGGTGGAAAAATAATCTTATTGGTTGCAACTAATTATCCTATTGGACATTACTAGTTTTATGTCTAGTCCAGCAATTTTATTCAAATATTACATACAAATAATTAGCTTTAAAAACATTCTGGTAAATGGTTTTATCATTTTACTGTTTCTCTCACTAGTTATTTTCTTAAAGTCAGTCTTCAATATATGTTAATTTTATATTTGCACAAGAATCTATCATACCTTTTTGAAAACTTGACCTTAATAAACTTCACACTATACAGTCACAGAATTTTATTTACTTACGAATCATGATTTTAGAGTTTTGGGGCAGGTGCTATGGTGCAACAGGTTATGCTTCTGCTTGGCATATATCCAAGTGCCTGGCATTGAGTTTTGCCTTTGATCCCAATAAAGATACCTGCTATTGAGCCTGGGAAGCAGCAAACAATGGCTCAGTTACTTGAATTCATGCCACCCTTGCAACATTGTCTTCCCATATGAGCACCAGCTTGAGTTCTAGCTGCTCCATTTATGATCCAGCTGGGAAAGCAGTGGAAGATGGTCCAAGTGATTGGGACGCTGCCCCCCGCGTGGGAGACCAAGACTGAATTCCAGGTTCCTGGCTTTGGCCTGGCCTAACTCTGGCTGTTGCAGCCATTAGGGGAGTGAACCAGCAGATGAAAGATATCTCTCTGTCTCTACCTCTCTTTTTGCCACTCCACCTTTCAAACAAACAAACGAATAAATACTTAAAAAATAAAATTTTGAAAATTTTACTTTACCAAACTTTCAAAATACAGAGTTTTATAATTTTATAATTGCATTACCATGGAATTGTCAAACATGCTCAGGCTCTAGATGAAAAAAAAAAATCCTGAGAATTCATGAAGCAGTGTCTTGCCCAATTTTTATAGATGGTTGATCTAGAATTGTCAATGTAGGAATTGATTGAAAAATTTAGAAATCTGAAATTCAGAGACTACATTGATTATCAAGACAAATAAGATTTTCTAATATTATAAACACCAAAGGGCTTACACAGGCACATTCATGTGGAGTAATAATTTTATGATACTTTATGTGGACTAAGAAGGTACTCAGTCTATGGTCCAGGTGTCCCCCTGGTTAAGAGCGCTTACTTTATAGTGTATTTAACATTACAAGAAATTATATTATGTACTTTTGAAAGACCTTCACTTAATCTGTTTTGTAAGTTTTATTTTTATACAAAGGTGAAAACTTGGTTCCTAGAGAAAATTATTTAATTAGATATGTTGTTCACCAGTGAAAGTTGAAGGGCCATGTACTTCAGTGATACTTAGACATTTTCAGCCCATATCATCACTCTCAAGTTCACTATCATTTACGTAACTCTAGAATGAGATTCTTTGAATTGATTTCCATTTAATCTTTTAATTTATTAAAAATTGTCCGTGGATTTATTTGCTTGGGTATACAAAAAACTCCAGGTAGTCAACTTCTAAAGTAGTTTTAGAGCATAAGAGAAGTTAAATTAATGCATATGATTAAGTAAAGAATTTGATTTAGTCCCATTCTGTACATTCCTATAATGTTATCACTTTTTACAAAATAATTTATTGTTAATTTTTCCCAACAGAATTATTTCCTTGACATTTAGGCAAGGAACTATAACCCTTTCTTACTGTTCCTCTGGCCTGACAGAGGAGCTCAGAGTGTCTACACTCTTTTCACCTTTTGCCCCTTTTCCTATTCACACACAGCTGTCTTCTGTCAAAATACGGCGTCTTCCCTATTTTTAAGCTCTTTAGTCCTCTGGGACAAGGCTCTGCTGTAAGAAAAGTCTGACTCAGAGAGTTTCTGGCAAGCTGTTTGCAACCTAAAAATGCACATGGTAAGCACATGAAGTCACAGAAACCCTTTCTTCCAATGGCACTGCATGTGGATAAATTAATGTGACTTTTTAAATTTCATTTTGGAAGAGTACCCTTTTATCTTCAGTATTTATTCTGTTGATGAAAATGAGCACAATTATGTGCACACTAAGAAGTACCTATGCATCTTTTTTCCTAAAAAAAAGTGATCTGTATTTCTTAACAGTACTTGTCAGGATTTCTAAACCTTTTGTGACCAACAGCTGAAAAAAATTAAAAAAAAAAAAAAACCCTCATCAGTGACTTTAGTTACATGCTGCAGAATAGCTAACTGGACTATTTCTAGAAAGGCCAACTGGGCTGCAGAGTGGGACCAGTCACTAAATGAGACTGAGACATCTGTGATTTTCCCAGTTGTGCTAATGGTTTCTTCAGTTCCAGGAGAGCAGACATTATTTGGTCTATAAAGTACCCTATGTTATTGGCTCAACTTCTATGTGGAACAACAAGAAATCATATTCTGTCTCCTCCCTTCAGGCTCTCAGGAGAATTAAACTTGAGGTCAAATAAACTATGATCCAGATATTTTTTCTAACTTTATGAGAATACATTATGGCAAAGCTTGCAAGATCCAAGACTTTTAAAAGAGAACAAGGAAATAATTTATAGCATCTCCTAGAGGGAAGTAAATCTTCTTTTTCAATTAGGCAACAAATGACAGTTAAAATATAGGACATTCCCAGGAGTTGTGGTAGCTATTGTGGCTAAGGGATTTGCTGCTAGTAGTCACACTGTGTCATTTCCTTTGTCTTACCCTCTTATTGTGTCATTTCCCTTGTTGATTGCAAGGCCAAGAATATTATTTCAAGGAGAGGGAACATGATGTGTTTCAAGAGGAACAACACCGTAGCATCTAGAGAAGCAACTTCTAATTAAAGAGACAGATTCCTAATTAAACTCTGATTTTAGCCCATGCTTTCTCAACCTCAGCACCAGGAACACTTTGGTTCAGATAATTCTTTATCATGGGGAATTGCTCTGTGTGTTGCTGGGTGTTTAGCAGCGTCCTTGGCCTCTATCCTCTAGAAGCAGAGAGTAACACTCCCTCCATATACGATAACCAAGAGTCTCAAAGCATTGCAAACTATTTCCTGAGAGGCAAAATCCTCCCCAAGTAGAGTCCATTGAGTGTTTTATCAAAGATAAATCTTTTCCTTTTATTACTGTGTTTTAGTCCTTTCACATTTAGTGTGTGGATATTTTTCTCTACCTACTTCCTTGTATTTATATTTACTGCCACATGGTATGATATCACTAAGAACCTGAAAGATCTGATGATTTGGAGAAAGGGATCATGGAAAGAAGCCATGTAAGAGTCATGAAATAGAAACATTTTAGGCTCTGAAGTAAACATTTTGATGAAGATTAAATCTAGGAGCATATGATACATTAGGTTTCAATTCTAAAATTTCTGGATGCAGATGGGCATTGTGGTTCAGTGGGTTAAGCTATTTTGGGTGCCCAAATTCCATATTGAAATGCCTGGTTATGAGATCTAACTACTCTGCTTCTGATCCAGCTTCCTGCTGATGCATCTAGAAGTCAGAAGATGATAGCCCAAGTCCTTGGGACCCTTATAGCCATGTGGGAGACCTAGATGGAGTTCCTGGCTTTGATCAGCCCTTGCAATTCTGGGCTTTTGGGAAGTGAACCAGTGGATGGACGATCTCTCTGTCTCTTCCTCTCTGTATATCATTCTGCCTTAGAAACAAACTAATAAATATTTAAAAGATAAAAATTCAGTCTTTCAGTGATTATGGTTGCAGGTACCAATGTTTGCAAATTTGTGTTTTACTCTTTTGTCCCAAGGCCAACTATTAGTATTCTTTGAGAAGATGTTTGGGATATAAAGAAATCACACTCTCATCAGGATCGAAACAAAACTGTTGGAACCTTCTTTAAAAAAAGGTCAAAGAAGTGGAGGGTCATTCTCTAGTGGAAAGGAAGAGGAGAGGAAAATGCACTGGAGTTGAATTGTCCAATGATGATAGAGTTAGCAACCTATGAGCAGTGGAGAATCACAGTGTAAATGCAAGAGAAAGATGGAATACCAGTCAATGTAGGTTAAGCAATGCTGCTGTAACAGATTGTTGTCGATTCTAGT